CCACATAAAGCACTTATTAGAGTGTCAGACACACATTTAGTGCTCAAAAAAATATTACTGTTGCCCCTATTCTCATATTACATATGAAGAAACCATTATTCAGGAAGTTGAGATTAGAAGATCTGAGAAAGTTAGTAAAGAAACTGAATTAGAACATCAACTTCTGATGTCTAGTGTAGGGTGGACATAACTGTAGGAAATATATATTATAACTGATAATTTATGTATTATATACAAATGCTAAACATGTAAAGAAAAAACTATTTTAACTATATATATATATGTATCCGTTTAGTAAAAATTAAGGTTAATCTTGTAGACAGTAAACCAATAAATATTTTTATCAATAAAATAAAATTATTGCACATGCCTTGATTGGTTAAATAAAAGACAATTTTCAACTTTAAGTGTTAAATATCAGCTGTTTAATTAATTGTTTTTAGATTCACAGAGTCAGTGAAATAGTCACAAAACCCAAGTTTATAAACTAAACTTCAGCACAGTTATTTTATGAAAATATTATTATATGTTTTTGAAAATAAGCAAACAATAATATTTAATAGAACCCTGGATCAGCTGAGAAATTGTCTTTTCAAAAATTTTAAATGCCACACATCCATTCCCTAAGTGTTCTCCTTTCATTCTGATGCCTCTATTTTACAGAGGAAGAAGAATTAGTAAAGATAAATTTAGGTCAGGAGAGAGAACTGTAAGCAAATCAAAGATAACTTGAACTTGAGTATTCTTTAAATATGTTTTGCATAAGGACAGCAAGTTGTTTCACTACTTGTTTGTAATCCACAAATTGACTATATACGAATTTTTCTTGTAGCATCCTCTCTACACTATAATAAGAAAAGCTATGCTATCATTTGAGGACATTAAATAATTACTTTCCATGGGAAGTAGCTGGTCTCTCCAATCTGTAGTCACTTTGGTGGGTTGGGAAACTGCCCTTCAACCAGGTCTACCCTCTGAGAACTTGGGTTACTTCCAAGTAAATTCAGGGAAGTTCTAGAAAAACAAAAACAAAAAAACTAGGACTGAATTAAAAACTGGGACTGTTTTAAATGTTCCCTCCACTGATTTTTAAAAAGGTATTGAGGGATCAGGTCTTCACAATTCTTCCAAAGCCTACCAATTGTAAAAACAGAACCCCTACATTGGTTGCATGTCTCCTAGTACTGTTTGGCCCAGATGTGCCACATCATGGAGGCGCCTATATCTATGTTTTGCATGAAAAGGTTCCATATAAAGGTATTGCTAAGACCACTCCTTTCCAGTGAGATACAAAGAAAGCAGGCTCCAGGCACCGCCTGAGCTTGAGGCTATACAGTTAGTTGCTTCTCAGTATTTGAGGATGTGATTGCTACTTGGACCTAGAAATATTCAGTGGCTGACTCAGTATTTTAAGGATTCACATAATAGCATAGAACCTGGGCCAACTGACACTTGATTTAGCCTATGTTAAGAACTTTTTGAGCACAGGTTGCAAGGTTGATACGTTAAATTTTTATTTGGTCTCTACTAAACATGATTTAAAATATTTTTTAATGTTTATTTTTGAGAGAGGGAGAAAGAGAGAGAGAGAGACAGAGTGTGTGTGTGGGGGGGGGGGGGACAAAGAGAGAAGGAGACACAGAATCCAAAACAGGCTCTAGGCTCTGAGCTGTCAGCACAGAGCCCAATGTAGGGCTCAAACCCACAAGACCCAAGATCATGACCTGAACTGAAGTCGACGCTTAACCGACTGAGCCACTCAGGCACCCCTATTAAACATGATTTTATCTAGAAATCATGTAATAAAATCATTTACCTACTGCATATGTGTGAATTTTAACTTCGGGCATTTGTTTATCTTTAAAGTTCCAGATGTTGTACAGAATGTACAATGTATGGCAACTAGCTGGCAGTCAGCTGTAGTGAAATGGGATCCACCCAAGAAGGCAAATGGAATAATTATACATTATATGATAACAGTTGGAAGGAATTCTACAAAAGTCTCTCCCCAAGATGATATGTATACTTTCGTGAAACTTCTTGCCAATACCTCATATATCTTTAAAATAAGAGCTTCAACTTCAGCAGGTGAAGGTGATGAGAAAACATGCAACATCAGCACGCTACCTGAAGCAGGTAACTAATCTGAAACAGGTAATTTACCTGAAAGAGGAAACCAACCTGAAACAAGTAACTACTTGTGGATTGTGTCATACATTTGTCAATAGCATTTGTAATCTTTTTATTCTTCCAAGTTTTTATTTAAGTTCCAGTTAGTTAACATACAGTGTCATATTAGTTTTAGGAGTCGAATTTAATGATTCATCACTCATATACAATACCCGGTGTTCATCACAACAAGTACCGTCCATAATCCCCATCACCTATTTCACATATCACCCTACCCACCTCCCCTCCAGTAATCCTCAGTTTCTTCTGTACAGTGAAGAATCTGTTTTATGGTTTGCCTCTCTCTCTCTTTTTTTTCCCTTATGTTCATCTGCTTTATTTCTTAAATTCCACCTATGAATGAATTCATATATTTGTCTTTATAGCACATGTATCTAAAGATATGAAAGAAATATTTTAAAATGTAACACATACATTTTTATGACATGTGTTACTGAATACTGGTTATGTAGTATATTGATCCCTCTCCACAACATGGGGAGACTAAACAGGGGAAAAGGAGAGAAAATCTGCTCTACTGTGTTTCCACACATATCTATGTCTTATTATCCAAACTATGAACTTACTGAATTATTCTTTATCATGAATTAAAATATGGAGTGAACATGTAAATGTTTTGATATTTATCTCTTTTTTATTTAATTGATTTTATAGAACTCCAGATGCTTTCCTGAATTCCAGAGCTGCAGTGTCAAACTCTCTTTCATCGATTTCTTTTCCTATACATCAGCCCTTGTCTTGTATAGTATTTGAATGAAAATATCTGGTCACCAAGTCTAGTCTACAAAGAAGAAAATGCTTGCCTTCCCTAACAGTGGTCTGACCTACCGTATTATTTCCTTTCTCCTTCTACCTTCTCCAATATTATACCTGCTCATATCAATGTAAGTCTGATTCCTTCCTGATAGTACTACTTCCCTGGAAGTCCTCCCTTATACGGACTGTGGGTAATGGCATAATTGTTTACTTCTGGCACATCCAGATCCATTATTTTGGAAACATCTTCTAATTCTTTCCTCCTTTTGAAATCAGCATCACCCAATTTTACTCCACTCCTCTATCCTTGAGGTAGTAAACCACAGAATTTCAAGACATGGTGTACCTTCTCCCTGGTTTCCACATCCTCATCAACATTTTTTCCTTATCATCCTTCCAGTGCAACTCTTCATCAGACTTCAGTGTTCTTGTTCAGCTGGAATAGATGCTTCTCAGCAACACCTATCTTTTGCTCCTTAGATCTCAAACCATGCCATTGTGATTCATCTTCTAGGGGTTTTTCCCATTCTGAGGGGATTCCACTGTTTTCACCAGATGTTGGCTGATAAATAGTGCTATACAAAACAGAAGTGGTTTACCTTTTCCAGCTATAACTTCACCTTCTCTAACTCTCCTAGCTACCCCATAATCTTCTATATCAATTTGTTTGTTTACACTCTATCGATTTTCCATAGGAGAATTCTGCTCTCATTCTGAACATAATCTGCCCACACTGTCATCTATATTTGATGTGATTTTCTTAATAATATCAATGATACTGACTTGCCCTCCTTCATATTTACTCATATCTTTATTTATGCTCTCAAGATATCCTCTCTCAGGGATGTCATTGCCTTCTTTTCAGGAAGGTAGCTGCTTATTTTTTTGTTTCAGTATCATATCTCCTCTAGAACATTACTCCATCGTTCAATCTACTTTCTCCTGAATTTCATTCTCTTTCTTTCCATAACCCCCCCACCCCGCAAATTGTTCGAAAATTTTAGCCGAGGAACTGGTTGGTGTATCAACCCCAATATCTGCAAAATGGAATTTATGCTAGATGAATTCTTCTCTTCCCCTTTTCTATGCCTGTACTTTGTAATCCTTTGGATACCAAGCTTCATATTTTTATGTGAACTTTCTCCCATTTTTCCTGCATATGATTAGATCTTATCAATTCAGTCTCTGCCATGGCTCTCCAATTTGTTCCTTCTTCTCCAACGTGACTGCCCCATTTTACATCAGCCTCTTGTTGCTTCCTGTAAAAATATCCTAAAGTAGCCTTACCACCCACGCTCATCCAGTCTGCCCATCAGTCTTTTCTTCGTACCCACTTATTTTCTTTGAATTGTTTCTAATACACAGTTTAGAGCATTTATGTGTTGGCAGTTGAAGTTCATTATCTGAGGGTAAAAGTGAGACATGCAGATTCAGGTATTTGAAACATAGAGATAAGAATGAAAAGCACAAGGTATAGGATATGGCTCAGAATACTCCAAATGTTTTACTTATTCTTGTCTAGAAAATGCATCCCAGAATTTATCACCAGTTAGAATCTGGCTTCTGTCTATGTTTTCATTCTTATGTCCCTCTACTACATTTCCTCATCTACCCTATGCCTCTAGCCAAATTTTGTTTTTTTTTCAGTACATTAGATTTCATGTATTCAATTAAAAGAACATTTATTAAGCACTTGCTACTTGCTATGGGCTAATAATTGATTAGTTTTTCTATTTTAAACATACTCAACACTTTCTCACCATCAAATTGCTTTACTTCCTGTGGTTATATTGTCCTTTTCCTTTTGTATGTCACACAGAATTGTATTCATTCTTAAAAGCCCAATTTAAGTGTGTGTGTGTGTGTGTGTGTGTGTGTGTGTGTGTGTGAAATTCTTCAATGAAATGCCAACCTTTAAAGCCACAGATTCCTGGACTTCACCCCAGACTTGCTGATTCATGGCCTAAAGAGGTGATGCCCAAACCTGTACTTTCAGTCATCTCTCTAGGTAATCTGATGCTCTGCAAGTTATGGGAAGTGCTTGAGTAGGTTACCCATGAACTCTGATTGCTGGTGATATGTCGCATCCAGGACAGGCAGTGTCAAAGAGGTCCAAAAGGAGTGATAGGTATTTCCCCAGAAGGTGGGTAGCAGACCATTGCTATGCAAAATCTGGCAGAAGGAAATATGTTCAAATCCAGGCAGATGGTCTGCATCAGGTGTTTTAGCATCAGGTAAAATGATCTTGATTATTGGACAGGAGCAGAGTCTTAGAGAACTGGAAAAAAAAAAGGACAATAATTTTGAGATAAATGAGAGGTTCAAAAGACTCTGAAGACAAGACAGAAGACTCATTAATTGAGTCCACGGACATTCAAGATGACTGCTTCATCACAGGAACAAAGCAGAAGTTCAGTTAGTAGAACTGAGACACGTAATCAAAGTAGTAATATGCGTTTGATATAGAGCTATCTGAACTTAAGGTACAGGTCTTTGTAAAAGTAAATATTTATTTAAGGATTTGAACTGGATCTTACCTCAGGGTTAAAAGACCACATGAGTAAAAGTTAAAGGGAATCTAAATCAATGAATTAGGCTGATATCAGACATACATATTGTGCTATGTACTCCCTTAGTACTGAGGACAAATGCTTCTCAGACATTAGACTTCTAACTCCCTGCATCAGAATATATATATCCCTAAGGCCCTACTCCAGACCTATGAAATCAGAATTTGGAAAGTAAGACTCACAACAAATCTGTATGTAAACAAGATATGTGTGGAAAACAGTGCTGAAATTGGAGACACGCTCTATTCCTTTGTAAACTTTTTGCTTGCGGGGCCTTTGTCTTATTTATCACTGTTTTACTCACAGTTCCTAGCAGATACCCTGGGAATTACAGGCACTCACATGTTTGTAGAAGAAAGAAATGAATTCTTTTCTTGTGAAATTTATAATTTTCCGTAAGGGTTTTTATTCCATTGCAAAATATGATTTCCCACATTTCTATCAGGCAAAATTATAGATATTTTCTCCCATGCAAATGTAAAAGTGTTTTTAATTAAGGACAATCAATCATATGAAACGTAAGCATTAATTGGTACTTCAAAATTTCTTAAATAATTTTTCATCTTTAAAATTAAGTTTCAGGTCTAGGATGTAATTATATTTCTGATTATAATATTTGTTAGGTAAATGCTTTTATCTGGGTCTGTATGAATTGTTTGTTGATGAGACATTAGTAAGAACTGGAGATTCATTGTTCAGAATGGAAACAGTTTTATAGCTGTTGCACAATTCTAATTTATAGCGGTCTAAGATTAGTCACGGTGCATAGTCAGCTCTGAGTCACTGACTCTGTGCTTATTTTTGATGTAAAGTAAAATCAAATTTGGCTCACTCTCTTACTGCCTGGTGTCTGAACTTAACATTCCTTCCAGGGATTATTGGGTATTTTTCTCAGTGTAAACTTGGTCATAACTGGGCACAGTTAAACATGCATCATAATGATTGAATTTATGAGGAGATTAGTGTTTGGTCTCTAAGGTGGTTCCATTGTCGCAGTCAAACATGTTGGAATAGGGCAGATGTAGATGAAGGCCCCCAAACTTGGTGCTTTTAGCCACATTTTATGTCAAAATATATGTACCAATAAAGATATTATAGCAAGTTCATGTGCACACAATATTGAACTCTTAGAATCTCATATTAGCTCAAAATGCATGCACTTATCCATATTATTTTCAAATCTTAGTAAATGTGGTGATTTAATATTGAGTTTTTAAAACTTTTTTTCTGGAAGATAATTTTACAGTTTGTATTTATTCAAAGCTCTTCCAAGTTCACTAATTTAGAATCAGAAGAGAAAAATAAGCTATATCTATTGGATGCCTAAAACTTAATTGAGGGAAAGTAAAATATGATTTTTTCATTAGTTTTTGTCCAACAGGAGGTATCAGGCACTGGTAGCGACCCACTGCAAGTCCACTGAGGTAGCAAATTTATTAATATGGTGCAACATTATTGAATGTGTTCAATTTCCCTGTTTTTCATTTTTCTTCTACTCTTGGTTATTTGAAAAAAAACATATGGCAAACTATCAATATGCATATACTTATATATATTTAATATATAATATTATATGTGTGTAATATATAAATATTATAATATGTAAACATATTATATATATAAATATATATTTTTTACATTTATGTATGTTAACTTTCAATCATCTTCTTCACAGACCTGACCACTGTTCCTCTAAGAATTATTTAAGAAATTTATCTGTTATGCATTTTAGTTGAATCCCTATTTTGTGCACCTCTCTGAGCACTGCAGAGACCAGGCAAACTGTGATTATGACTAAATTTGATCTCCATTTACCAGCTTTTTGAAAAAATAAAACATTTATATCATTTTTAGGAACGCAAACCATTCTCAAACAGCACTTATTAGACTGAATGTGAGTGGTAAAAGTATTCCTCAGGGTTGCAAATTAATGCACTAATTCAAAAGTTCCCTTTTTCCTTTGTCTGCATCCAATTGACTTTGCTCTCCTTATCCGTCTCCTCAGTTGAGATGAGAAGTCAAGCATGTAGGAAAATTGCATGATCCTGTTTGTTCTTAAGCAAGTGAATTGACACATTCTACTTACCAGTAAGTAATTGCTGAAAGTGTAAAAGCCATTATAGTTGCCTGTCACAGATCAGAAAGAAATAGCTATTAGCATTGCTACTCTAATTGAAATTCAAGTGTTTTACAAAATATCTCTCATGTAGACTCAAGTATTAAATATAATGCTTTTCTTAAGAGTGAACATCAGGTGAGAAGTATCTTTTACACTTATAGTGTGGAAATTTGACCCATACATGCTTATTTAATGCTTATTACTATGCACAGGCTCGTGTTTGGGGTTCAAGAACCAAGTTTGAATCCCAAATAGCATCAATGATCTCTGCTGTATGCATCCAAATAACTCCACCATTAATGTAAAGACATACCCAATACATATAAAGCAATTAAATACAAAACAATATTAATATGTTAGTCAATTATGTGGATTGAAGATTGAATCAAATAGGAATTCAGGACAATATTGAAAGCTATGTTGAAGAAGTGGAATATGAATTGGATGTTGCTTATTTGTAGCTTCAGAATTTCTTTATATGAGAAGCATAGACTCAGTAACCTAGCAGGAAATTATGATATGGTCTTGAACTTTGAATTTCATAGACAGTTACACCAGTGTTTACTTAGATTCTCTGATATAGATCAATAAAATAGCCAAGTTTTTGAAGTATTCTTTTTTTGTTGTTCTTCAGTGTGCTATGAGAAATGTCAGAGCACATGTCAAAAAACATTCTTCATTTTATTTGAGCTATATGAAGGGTAGGGGGAATTGCAGATTATGGGTATGCTAAGGTACTCATGGTTAACCAGCCTGTGGCACAATCACTATTCATGGAAATACTGAGATTAATAGAGAGAGGGAAGTAAATGCGAATTCCAAAATACACCAAGAGAAAACACACAGTGGAATAAAGGAATGGGATATAAGAGGTCAGGCTGAGGCGAAAGCCTGATAGAGTGAGGGGGTACTATATTGGAAAGAGTGTAGCGGGGAGGTTGAATAACTTAGCCTTACTTTGCTCTTGGTTTTGCATATTTGTTGCAGAGGCTTGAATATAATATCATGGAAAAATGAGAACTCTGCTAACTTTAATTTTTTTAATGTTTTTATTTATTTTTGAGACAGAGAGAGACAGAGCAGGGGAGGGGCAGAGACAGAGAGGGAGACACAGAATTCAAAGCAGGCTCCAGGCTCTGAGCATAGAGCCTGCAGTGGGGCTTGAACTCAGGGACTGTGAGATCATGACCTGAGCTGAAGTTGGATGCTTAACTGACTGAGGCACCCAGGCGCCCGGAGAACTCTGCTAACTTTAAAATAGGAAGCAACATAAGTAACTCTAAAAATAGTGATTGTTTTTTTGACCATTGTCCTAAAAGACTGCAGTAATTTTTAGAAGAAGTATTTGTTTATTACATAGTTACAGAGCCTTCTGAGTCGCAAAGAATAAGATCCACAGTCATCTTAATGGCCCATAGGGTCCTTTTTAACCCACCATTCTCTTCCCTTAGGTATGTATTGTCTCCTCCTTTGTTTTTTGAAATTTACCCTCAAATACCACCTCTTTAAAGAGGATCTGATTTATTTATAATTGAACCTCCTTTCTGCTAGAATTTTGCATCCTCTTTATCTGCTTTACTTTTCTGTATTGTATGTAGCATTGTCTCTGGATCTGTCCTCATTACAATGCATGTTCCATGAGATTAGGGATTTTTCTTTGTGTAGTTAACAAAGAAATGCCCAGAGGGGCGCCTGGGTGGCTCAGTCAGTTAAGCTCAGGTCCTGATCTCACGGTGGTTCCTGGGTTTGAGCCCCACATTGGGCTCTGTGCTGACAGCCTGGAGACTGCTTTTGGATTCTGTGTCTCCCTCTCTCTCTGCCCCTCCCCTGCTCACACTCTGTCTCTCAGAAATAAAAAAAAAAATTTTAAATGCCCAGAAGTGTGTCTGAAATACAGTGAAACACAATAAATATATTATGAAACATTGAATGAATCAACCAATCAATCAATCTTCAGTCCTAGAAGAGTGCTAAGCACATAGTAGACATTCAATATGCATACTTTGGGAACCATAAGTAGAAACTTATAGTTACAAAATTATTTCTAGACAATTATATGGTAAAATATCTAAGAAAGGTGTGTCTTTTGGAGTATATTTTTTTAATTAAGCTTTTTATTTTGAGATAATTGTAGATTCACATACAGTTATAGAAAGTAATTCAGAGAAATCCTGTGTTCCATTTATGCAGTTTCCCCCAAAGGTAATGTCTTTTAAAACTATGGTATATTATCACAACCACCATATTTATGTGAATGCAATCAAAATAGAGAATATTTTCATGAAAATAATCCCTTTTATTACCTCTATGCATCCTCGCCCAAATCTTAACCACCCTTCTTCCTCCTCCCCCTCATTTTCACCCTCTAACAACCACTAATTTTTTCTCCATTTTCTATAATTTTGTCATTTTTATTGATATGTTCATGTGGTTTTCTTCTTTAGTGTGTTAATATGATGGATTATATTGACTGATTTTCTAAATTGAACAAGCCTTTGGTCTTTGGAATCAACCTCACTTGATCATGGTGTATTACTTTTTATGTATTACTGATTTCTATGTGTTAATATTTTGTGAAGGCTTTTTGCTTCTATATTCATGAGAGATGTTGGTCTGTAGTTTTGGGTGGGGGTGGTTCTAACTTGTGTAGTTGCAGTATCAGAGTAACACTAGTTTCATCATATGAATCTCTTCTAATTTCTGGAAGAGATTGTGTAAAATTGGTACTAATTCTTCTTTAAACATTTGGGAGAGTTCTCCAGTGAAACTCTCTGGGCCTGGAGATCTCTATTTGGGGAGATTTAAAGTTATGTTGAAGTGCTTTCAGAATGCAAAATTGGAGCTGAAATGTGATATCAAACCAGTTGCAGAAAGTGGTACTTCTAATTAATCCATTTTGTCAAAAAGGAAGTCTCGAGAGAAATAAAGAAATATTGTAAACTAAAATATATTAAATTGATATGAAATGAAAATACAGTATGTCAAAATGTGTGGGACAGAGTTAAAGCAGTGAAGAGAGGGAAATGTGTAGCATTAAATGCATACATTGGAAAAGAAGGAACGTCTCAGATCAATAATCTAAGGTCACCCTCCCCTCCACTATAGCCTAGAAAATGAAAAAGCATGCTGAAAGAAGAAAGAGAATAATAAAAATAAGAGCAGAAATCAGTGAAATCAAAAACAGTAAAACAGTAGGAAAAATCAGTGAAATAAAGAGCTGGATCTTTGAAAAGTTAAAATTGATAAGCCTGACAAATGACACAAATTACCAATATTTAGGAATGAAACCACTTCAGACACTGCCAACTTCAAAAGGATAATAAGGAAATGATACCAACAGCTTTACACACAAAATTTTTACACCTTGGATGAAACAAACTCATTCTTCAAAAAGCATAACTACCACAGCTCACCTAATGTGGAATAAATAATGTGAATATCCCTATAACTATTAAGGACATTAAATTTGTAATGATTTCCTTTAACCCACTCTGGTAGGGAAAGGAAGAGCACTCTCCATTACTGGCAGATGGGGGTAGGAATCCAAGTTCCCCCTTCACCCTCTGCTGACTCCTCCATTGAGGAGACCTCTTGGCCCTAGCTCAGGAGGGTAGGAGTTCCTCATTACTGCTCTCCACATGGTTCTCCACTGACATGGTGAAGGAGACTTGTGACTTCTGGAAAGGGTAGAAGTTCTAGCTCCTTATTTTGCTTTCTCCAACCTCACCCTATCAAAGATGGTTGAGGTGCCTCACTTCTGCCTAATGAGGACAGAAGACTAGGTTACCCATTTGACCTTTCCTGTCATGGGAGGGAATGGGACCATAGTTTTCTTCTGTGGTTTTTGGGTAGAGCTGTTCTTCTCTAAAAGTTTGTCTTTCTAGGTTACACTATATTTTTAATGTTTATTCATTTCTGTGACAGAGAGACAGACAGACAGACAGAGAGACGGATTGTGAGCAGGGGAGGGGCAAAGAGAGAGGGGGGCACAGAACTTGAAGCAGGCTCCAGGCTCTGCGATGTCAGCACAGAGGCCCACGTGGGGCTCAAACTCACGAACCATGAGATCATGACCTGAGCCAAAGTCAGACACTTAACCAGCTGGGCCACCCAGGTGCCCCAAGGCTACACTGTTTTTTGACTAGAGACAGCATGCTTTTACTAGGGCTTTTTGGCCTGAGCTACTTGACATTTCCAGATTGCTGCCTTCTGGCATATATGAGGCAAAAAGAAAATCCAGAGAACTCACCACTGTATTGTTTCTTGGGTCCTGATTTCCCTAGTTGCTCTGCCTTCTCTCCATCTTTCAGAGTCTTCTTATGCTTGCATTATATTTAATGTCCATGGTTTTAATTGCATTTAGTGGAAGGAGTAGGATTAAAACATCTCTTCCACCTTCTTCAAAGCAGAAGTTCATACATGGGGATACATTTAATGGTTCTAAGTAAGAATCTTTGCTGTGGGCATTTTCACCACAGTGTTTCACCCTGTAAGGCAGTTTTGCTGAAAAAGATAAAAAATAACCAGTTGACAGTTTAGTTTGACAGTTGGTTGGTTTCATCAGCTGGTTGACTGTTTGGTTTCATTTTTCTATTGATACAGTTCTCCCATTTTTATATTATATAAATCTTAGCCAGCTCCCATAATGGTCTGTACAGTGGCAAGGAGTTTTTTTGAATCCTTGAAATGAATCCACATTCCCATGGAACTTTGGAACATCAGTGGGCATGTGACAAAATGCCAAGAACAAACAACAGTGTGGAAGGCTTTCACAATGCAATACAAAGCTCACAAACATGCATTCCAGTTTTTGGAAACTAAAACATCTTTTAATGAAGGAAGAAATTGTAGCAAAAAAGGGGGAAAATGAGATGCTGAACAAGAAAATGAATCAATAAGCAAAAAAAAAAAAATGTGTGACACTATGAATGAAAAACTTTGATGACAAGTGTTTAGGTATAATCCAAAAAATAAAATCAGTTATTTGTGTAGTATTGCCATGAATCTACACCATACATTTTGAATGTATTCAAATATTTAGTATTTGCAATAAAGTCTTTCAAATTTTGTCATTCATTTTTAATGTTTCATTACATCCTTTTTAATGAATGTCCCTCTTTTATTTTTCATGATTTTATCTTCTATGGCAGAACTGCCTTATGGCCTATTAGTTATGTAGCAAAAATGCTGCAAAAAAGATGCTTTTTTAAAATTCTGAACAGATACTTAATATGCATGGTACCCCTTTTATTCATCTATTTAAGATGAAGTTATTTAATACATATGAAGTAGAATGCTAGGGACTACTGGGAAGACTATAATAAACAAATTTATTTCTTGTGCTTTTAAAATTTAGAATTATATAATTTTATATTTTCATTGGCTCTCAGAGATAATCTCATTCAGTCATCTCATTTGATAGATATGGGAAATGAAGCACACAGGTTACGTGTCTACTAAGGGAGCTGTAACTAATTCTTAGCAGAACTCCCGCTAATCCAGAACTCCTCCTACTATACTATAATGCTTTCCTTACCTTAGGAATTCAACGAATCATTTGCACTTATTGGAATTAGAATAGTTTTCTTCCATTGTTTCACAGTAGCTAAGTAGAATTTTTATGGAGTGGGGAAATTTAGGCCCATTATATTAATTTTCTCATTAATTTTTGCAGATATATTTATGATGTAACTGTATACATACTTTTGTCCAAATATGGATTTAAATTTCAGGAAAACTAAATTTCTATCATCAAACATGTGCTTACCTATAATACCCAAAATACTATAATACTAAAAATACTGTGTAAAATACTGAAGCCATTCTGGGAAATCGTTAGAGTTCCTAGGTACGTACCGCATTTTTTATCCTGGATAAATCCCAAAGGTGTAATGTTGGCTATTATGAAATTGTCTTAGGTGTCAGATTGTAAATTATAATTTTAAAAGTCCTTTTAAATATAATTCCATTGGTAAAAAATGAATTTGAGTTACTGCTTAATTCTCCTTGACCCATTGATGCTCTAATACCTTTCATTAAGTATATTCCAGGCATCCACTCTTTTCTTCATCCCTGCTCCAGCTAAAGACAGCTGTTCTTCAAGCAGCATTTTTATTAACTTATTTAAGAACTGGGGCATATCTTATTACTCTATTTTCCATTCCTGTCCTATGCAGCTGTAGCTGATACTTTTCATAACAGCCTTTGCATATCAACCTCCTCTCCCATTGCACTCCATTTTTTTTTCTTATTCTCCTTTACTTTCCTTTTTAAGAAAATTAAGGATGTGTGTGTGCATGCAAAAGCCTTCTTTCTTTATCTCTAGTAACCGTATTACTTGAAAGCTTCAGGAATTTAACCATTATTTCTGTGAGATTATAAGCTTCAGGGAAAAACACTTAGGAATGGTGTAAAAACTGAAATGTAAAATATAGGACTTTTTTTTTTTAATTTTTTTTCAACGTTTATTTATTTTTGGGACAGAGAGAGACAGAGCATGAACGGGGGAGGAGCAGAGAGAGAGGGAGACACAGAATCGGAAACAGGCTCCAGGCTCTGAGCCATCAGCCCAGAGCCCGATGCGGGGCTCGAACTCACGGACCGCGAGATCGTGACCTGGCTAAAGTCGGACGCTCAACCGACTGCGCCACCCAGGCGCCCCTAAAATATAGGACTTTTAATGACAGCAAATTTTCATTAGTAACAACTCAACTTTAAAATAATGCAATATGGGGGTGCCTGGGTGGCGCAGTCGGTTGAGCGTCCGACTTCAGCCAGGTCACG